AGACAAACTCTTAGCCACATCCCCACTTAGCCTGCCCGTGTCAGAGGACTGATAGATGGAGATACAGAAGGTCTCTTCATCTGACTCACTCATGGCAAAGCTGAAGGGTCATCTAGCTCTAGTGTTTTCCAATGGCTGTTGCTACTGCATAGCCCTGCACGCAAATCAGTAACTTTCCTCTCTGTACTCTGTTTCACAGGTGTTGAGCCCAAGGCCGCTCCTCCACAGACATTCAACCCCGTAAGCAAGAAACAATGAGCCATGATAAAAGCACTTGGAAAAGAGGAAACTCTGTCTCGTATTCATCCTCAAGTGAATATAACCTCACCCAAAGACAAAAGGCACAGAGATCCAGGTTTAGTTTGGGATTAGTGATTTTCTTTCGACCAGGAGACAATCTGTCTGCCAAAGCAGTGAATTTTGTGTGTGCATACGCGCACGAGAGAGAGAGAGAGAGAGAGAGAGAGAGAGAGAGAGAGAGAGAGAGAGCACTGTAACTGCTGCAGTGGCTCGAGCACCCAAACCAGTCTGAATGTCTTGTGCTTCTGATTATCGTTACTGTGTTGCTGGGGAGCACAGAACACTGGTATTTATAAATCAGTGATTAGAAATTTTAAAACAGCTAAGTTTGATAGGTTCTGAAGTAATTTGGAGATAAATGAGGGAAAATCTCATTTCTCAATAAATGCCCCAAAGTAAATCAGATTACATAAGACACTTTTCAATTATTTTTTAGTAACAGAATCCAAAATATTCACTGGTTGTATGTCTAACAGAGCCTCTTTTCCTTAACATCTTACTATAACTACGTAACTAAATTATGGCCAATGGAACTCAATGGAAACTTCTGCATTAAATCCTATAAGAAAACACTTGTAAATCCTATAACAGTAAAAAAAAAAATTGTAAGGTAAAACCACCCAGATCCTTCATCTTCCAACCCACCAACTGGCCCCCCTGGCGCCGTGTAATTCCATCAATGGCCAAGACCCAGAAACTATAAAGACTATAAAACCCAGCTCCCAAAAGACATCTTATTATCTCATTCTTGCTTTGGACAACCTGGCAGGCTACCGAATGTAACCTGCGCATATGGCAGAGTCTGTCAAACTCCCCGTGGTGTACCCAATATGCCAAATACCAGTAACAATCATGGGTCTCATTCTCCTAACCCTGAAAGAGACTTGAATACGTCACTTTTTAAAATCTCAGGGCTAGGATGAAGGAGAACGTTACTGGGGCCTGCTCGAGGCAATCGATGAACAACAGGATGATCGTGATCGTGATCGTCATCATGAAGGTAAAACCACTTGACTTTTGTTTTCACTTTCCTCTACTCCCAGGATGGAACATGAAGGCTATTGATGGAACAGGAGTGCATCAGAGAGTTTCTGGGTTCTTGAATCACTTCTGGGAGAGAATTCTATGACCCTTATAAAACTTCATTCTAGCTTTGGCTTTTATATGGGAGAAAAATTAGCCATTTATTTTATTGGTTTTTTTGTTTTGCTTTTTGAGCCATACCAAGGTAACTCCTGGCTCTGCACTCAGGAATCACTCTTGGTAGTGTTTGGAGGCCGAGACGAGGTATTGGGGATTGAACCCAGGGTGACTGTGTGCAAGACAAGCACCCTATGCACTCTACTATCTCTCCAGATTCAACCATTTATTTGTTCAATCCATTACAATATTGTTTTTTATTAAAGTAATTCCACCAGTATTTTAACTTTCACAGATTCCAAATCAACTAAAACTTGGGTGATGTTCACGCTTTGCCCTATCATGGCATTAGCATGAAAAGCACACACTCTATTAGGGCTGCGAGTGGGGCTCAGTAGTAAGTTACATGTGTTGTGGGTATGAGAGTACCTTGGGTGAACACTGAACAACCCCCCCCCCCCCCTCAAATAAAAGAATTCCATCTACTATTGAGTAAGTGCTGACATTATCCTTCTGTTTTTGGTACTTTGCCTTGTTCTGGTCCACTATCACTAACACTATCACTATCACCCCATTGTTCATCGATTTGCTCGAGTGGGCCCAGTAACGTCTCCATTCGTCCCTGTCACGTGCTAGTGTAACCCGATGACATATTGGGGGCTCCTTCAGGATCAGGGGAATGAGGACCATTCATTGTTATTGTTTTTGACATATTGAGTACGCCACAGTTAGCTTGTCAGGCTCTGCCATGCGGGTGGGATACTCTTGGTAGCTTGCAGGGCTCTCCGAGAGGGATGGAAGCTTTTGGGGCAGCCTCTAATCCCCTTTACAGGTGTTCCTAGTCAGGCATATAGGTGGGAATGATACTCTCAGTAGCCTGCCAGGTTCTCTGAGAGTGAGAACTAGAGAATAAGAGGTCTAGATAATAGAATAAGTGTGCAAGGAATCTATGTTTCCAATTACAATCTCTCTCTATTATATTCCTCAGATATGTGCTTACCTTTCCCAAATCAGCAGTAACAGTCTCTTACACTAAATTCCAAAAATCCTAAGTATTTGAGAATCAAGTAATCATAGTGAGGCTTTCACATTATATAAAACAAGATGCATGAGGGGATAGGGATCTTGAAAATCTTTGAAAGTCCCTAGACTTCGAGTGCTGATGACATGCAGAAACTAACTCTATGGTTGCTTTCAGCCCAGCGGGTAGGGCATTTGCTCGCAGCCGACCTGGGTTCGATTTTTCCGTCCCTCTGGGAGAGCCTAGTAAGCTTCCGAGAGTATTCTGCCCACACGGCAGAGCCTGGCAAGCTACCCATGATGTAACAAGTCTCACAGTGGAGACGTTACTGGTGCCTGCTCGAGCAAAACTGATGAACAAAAGGAGGACAGTGCTACAGTGCCACATAACTGCTTCATGTAGTTTTCACATTGCTTCCTTATTATATTGTCAGCAGAGTGTAAACCATATCTGTCACTCTACTACCTTAAAAGATATGCTGGGAATAGCTCAGTCAACAATCATTCTCCTCACTGCACCCTTAGCAACACATCTGGATGGAAGAATGTCTATAGATGACTTGGCTATATTATTTTTGATAAAGAGGAATTCCTAGAAATTTTTTCCCTTCTTAGATTCACGTAGCTCTCAGAAATATTTACCATGTATCTGGTTCTGGGATTGTTCTCATGTTTCCTTTAAGACAAACTTACTCATTTAGTTCTGAGAATTTTTTTTTCCTGGCGGATTGCCATACCCAGCTATTCTCAGGAATTACTCCTGGTTCTGCACTTAGGTATTACTCCTGGTGGTGCTGGAGGACCATATGGGATGCCGGGGATCAAACTCAGGTTGACTGTATGCAAAGCATATGACCTACCCATTGTACTATCTCTTTGGCCCCTAGTTCTGAGAACTTATACTCTGATACTTATTCTAGGTAATTTATAAGTGCCCACTAAGCTGGTAAGTGGATATACCATTTAAATACTGATCTCTGTCATTAAATATTTTACAATTCATTAAAAGAATGATTAAATAACTGAAAATTGATTGGAAAGATATTGACTGGTAAGTGACAGCATTTAAAATGCCTGTTACTAGAAATGATTGGTATTATTAATCAATATGTGAGTTCCAGACCTTTTCCATCAGGGTAGAAGGAATTCAAAGCTAACCTATGATAGTCCTCCTCCATCAAGAACACATCTTAAGGGAGCAACTTAGCATATGATTAAAAGTTATGGCACATATCATTTTCTGTGTTCTATTTATATGCATTTTAGTTCTCCCTAACAATACTGACAACACTACTTAAAGCATGAAAGACCCTAAGGCACCATTAATGTTTATTATATAAAGTCTAAAGTCAGTTCATCCTGGGCTGGCAAATGTCTACCCTTCAAAGAGAAACAATTACAACCCCTTTTGAAAGCTTAATGGAGATATTTCCAGAAACACCTTTAAAATGGTTGAGAATTATTAACGTATTGTTCAGTGTAAATGCACAGGACAGAAAAACCACAGTTCTCTACAAAAGATGTCAAGAGCACATTAGCTGCTAGCTTGAGAACCTTCATCTGTAGCTAATTTTAGAGTACAGTTATAGCATTTAAAAAAAACATAAAATACTGTAAAATGTTGAAACTCAGAAGTTAGCAGTTAAAGACATTTACTAGGTAGAAGCTGGGGAAAGTACAGATTGTGGAAAAACACAAATATGAATAGTATAAGTGAGGCTTACTGGTATTTTCCCCAAAGGGTGTTTTAGACAATTCTATAATAAAATAGTATAATAAAATAAATAGTTTAATATCTAAACTAGGATTTTAGAGCCATCAACAGTTGTTTGTTGTTTTTTTTTTCATTTTTTTTAAAAAAGCAATCTCCAGACTTTTGCCCCCATGGGTTTTAATACGATACATCATAAAGAAGTTATTAATATGTGTTTTTTTAAAAAATCACTGCTAGTCAATGTGTAAACACGTCGTATGTTTTAACTTGCTCCAGAAAAACAGGATATTCTTAGAGATGAACAGGATGTACAGTGTGTCCATGCTGGGTTTCATGGTATAACAGAAAAGACCGAACACAAGACTAGGTTCAATCTTGAACACAAACCATGGTACTTCAATTAAAACTTAAAAAAACTAATTTAAATATATCTACAATGGGGCTGGAGCGATAGTACAGTGGGTAGGGCATTTGCCTTACATGTGGCCGACCCAGGTTCAATCCCTGGCATCCCATATGGTCCCCCAAACACAGCCAGGAGTAATTCCTGAATGCAGAGCCAGGAGTAATCCCTGAGCATCACTGGGTGTGACCCAAAGAGAAAAAAAATACAAGGAATAGTTAAAAAAGAAATGTGAATTTCTTTTCTATTTGGAAAGCATGAGAGTGATACTATTAGAGTACAATTTTCTAAAGCAAGAACTAGCTCTTGCAGTTCATAGCATCATAAAACAGGGGACGAATGCAGTCTGCCTCACTTCACATGGATGGGCAGACACCAGCTCTGCTCAACCCCACCAAGGCCCTGAGGCAAACTCCAACTCACCACTGGGGAAGGGGACAGGGCAATGTTGCCAATGGACGCCTTGAGTTCATCGACTGTAGCTGCACTCTTAAGCACGTCTTTAGATTGCAATGGCTTAATCTTGATGTTAAATTTCTTATGTGATTCTTCTTCTTCTTCCGATTCGCTGGAAGAATAAAAGTGCTTTCCTTTGGTAGGTAGAACACAGTTAAAGAGACATCCATCGGAGATCATGATGAGCAGAAAACAAGAGGGAACACATATGGAGTGGCAGAACATATACCCATATACTTGGGGAGAGCAGAGAGGTCCAACATCAATAACAATGGAAATCAGGAAAGGGTTAGAGTTTATTCACTGCTCTAGAATATGACTGAGGATGGGGAATTGCAAACAGCAGTGGTGAGGACAATCTTCATTTTGATTGAAGTTGGATGGCCACTTAGAATAAATAATTATGTGCAAAGAGGAGGGGCACTTGCTGGACCACTTGGGATGAGGTTCATGTGCTTGAAAATGTGACCTGCTCTGCCCATACATGACATGTGTGGAGAGAACAGTCAGATCTGCTTCTCAGTCACAGTCAACAACACTGTCATATCAGGTTTTAGCAGACGCTCCAGTACCCACCACGTTTATTCCCCCTCCTTCCCCCCCAGGCTAATTGCCTGATTGCTAGTAGTGCTCAGGCTGTTCTTTGTGGTGTTTGTTCATTTCTAATATTAGGGACAACAGGAATTGCAAAGTTTGGGTTATTTCAGTGCCTTTCCAAAACCTGGGTGTGTTTTACTGTTTCTAAAAAACAAAAATTTTAAAAAAAGGATATAGCCAGGTTCTTCAGGTCTGATACTGTAGCCTTCTTCATCCAGTTCAGGTGAGTTCTACAAAATACAAGCACACAGTAAGCAATGGTTATGCTGATAATGATGAAGAAAAGAGCCACTTTTCTTTCTAGAATCTTTTACTTAAAGATAGGGCTGGAGCGATAGCACAGCGGTAGGGCGTTTGCCTTGCACGCAGCCAACATGGCCGACCCGAGTTCAATTCCTCCTCCCCTCTCGACGAGCCCGGCAAGCTACCGAGAGTATCTCGCCTGCACGGCAGAGCCTGGCAAGCTCCCCGTGACGTATTCAATATGTCAAACACAGTAACAACAAGTCTCATGATGGAGATGTTACTGGGCCCACTCGAGTAAATCGATGAATAACGGGAGGACCGTGTGTGTGTCCTTACTTAAAGATATAGTCATGTCTCTTATTTTAGGGAGCTAGATTTTTAACTTGGAGAAGTGATTCCTTGGCATTCCATGTTCATCAATTCAAGGATCCCTGAAGAACATTTCTATTGAGAAAAAGTGGAAACATCAATGACAGAAAATTTTCAAAGAGAATTTGTCATGCATTTAAGTTCAAGGATTGTGCTAGGTGACATGCGCTAGGATACAAATCATCTAACCCTGGAAATTTAAAATGTAATTTGTTAGGAAAAAAAGTTCAAAACATAAAGCATTAGTGAAGGAAGAGGAACTTAGTCTGTGAATGGGGTGGAGGTGGAGGAGGAGGAATTAGACTGTTCCTTTCAGGACACAGGGATGGGTGAGAGGGAAGTCAATGTTGAGATGGGGAAAGGAGAGGCAACAACCACGATGGTAGGACCATGAGAACTGAGACCTTGGTTGGCTCCCCATGCTAAGGGAAGAACTGCTTGATATAGCTTCTTCAGTTATCAATTAGGGTAGGACCAGCTGCAAGGCATTATCTTATGGTGTTTGGGTGATGAGGTAGATTTGGTAGTAGGAAAAAAACTAGGGAAAGTCAATTTAGTATATTTTCATCAATTTGAGTAAGAGATGGACCAAGTTGGTTGTTGTTCATCGAGTTTTTCAAGCGGGTCCAGTAAAGTCTCCATTATTGTTACTGTGTTTGGCATATCGAATACATCACGGGGAGCTTGCCAGGCTTTGCCGTGCGGGCGAGATACTCTCAGTAACTTGCCGGGCTCTCCAAGAGGGGCAGAGGAATCGAACCCAGTTCTGCCTGGCCGACTGCACGCAAGGCAAACGCCCTACCGCTGTGCTATCACTCCAGCCCAAGTTGTTTGTAGGAAGGGAAAAAAATAAGATCATCTGGAGGACAAATTGTTAGTTCTTGATCATAGGGTAAAAGAGGGGGAAGTAATGTGTAAGAAGACTCCAAGATTCTGCCTTCAAATCCTGGGACTCCTCTGCTATTTTTGGAAGAACTAATTTCAACAACAGATAATTCACATTATTGGGAGGGGAGACAAGACAAGTTTGCATGATTGGGATTGGGGTTGGTATAACATTTGAGTTTCTGCCACATAGTAAGTAACATAATTCATCCCTCATTTCCCTGGGCCCTTGTAAGAACCATATGTGGATTGATAGATCCCCTTCATCAATGAAGACACTAAGAAAAACCAGGTTGTCATTTTTCAAGGAAAAGAACCCCTCAAATGCAACCCTGGGGCTTGACCTTAGGTTTTGGACACTAAACCCTATGCCTATAGAGGAAATACAGGAAGAATTCAAGGATGGTCTTAACATTGTGGTTACAGGCCTGGGACCAAAGAAGACAGAGTTGAAGGGAGATTCTGGAATATTTGTAGCCATAAAAGTGCCATGAGAGAGGGGTTGGATGGTAGGATATAAAGGAAAAGGCATTTTTAGTGAGCAGAGATTATGATGAGCTCCCTCTTGTCCTTTTTCCGTACTCGGTGAATTTCTTTCTTACAAGTCTCTTGAAGTCATTTCCCTGCTAAGAAATTGCCACTGGCTTCTCACAATAGATGAAAGAAAATCCCACTCCTTGGTGTAGCTCTTATGCCCTAGAGTCCTTGGGGCTGAGATTTTTCTAGTAGTTTCCCCCGCCAACCTTAAGGTTTTTTTCCTTTGGTTTACTTTTTCCATTGGAAAAGACCTTCCTCACTTCAGGGTCCTTAACGGTGGCAGGGTTTTCCTTGACAAAGGCTGCTGATAGGGATCTCGTCTGTGAGAAAGTACAAGAAGCTCAGTAACTTGGGAAGAACCTACGCTAGTGTGAGGCCATGAGTTTAAGTCCAGGGTTAATGCTGTCTTCTCATGGCATGTGTGCTGTGGGATCATGGTTTTCTCTTGGTTTGGGGCTCGTTGATAAGGAGAAATAACCAACCAACCAACCAAACAAACAAACACAAAACCCTTCTGATTACTTATAGAAAGTGTCATCTATTGTACAACTAGTACAATAATCCCTCACTACTGTTCATCTATAAGAAAAGATGAAATCATGCGATTTGCAGCTACTCGGATGGATCTGCAGAGTATCATGGTGGGTGAAATTAATCAGAAGGAAAGGGACAGACACAAAATGATTCATCTCCTATGGTTGATATAAAGAAGTCTGGTAGGGGAAAAGCAGATTCCCCAAGAACAGAAATTGAGGACTGGCTTTCTCACTCCAGGAGAGAATGGGGTGGTCAGGGTGAGGCTGTGGTAATGGTGGGGGGAAAGCAGGTTCTCTAAAGCTGGGTCTGGTGCTGGAATTTTTCTAAAAAAATTTTTATTAGTGAATCACCGTGAGGTACAGTTACAGACTTACAAACTTTTGTGCTTGTGTTTCAGTCATATGAAAATTTTTTAGATGTAATAATACCAATATCAGTTTTGTAAACTACATTCCTTACAATAAAAACTGCTGGGGAAAAAAAAGAAAGGTAATTCCTATATAACCTGATAGGAGTTTTTTTTTTTTAAATTGTAGGAAATAATCCTTAATTTAAATCTTAATCCTTAAGAATCATGAGCTGACCAGGGACCTCATTGTGTAGGATTTATGTGCTAAATAGGAAGCATTATTATCTACCACTTGATGAGAAATTTTTGTTTTAATGATCATAAAGCTTATTTGGCCAGACAATCCCATTTTTATGTGTACCGAACTACATTATAACAAAAGCCTGGGTTAAAAAAAAAACATTAAATTGAGGAAGAGGCATTATTTTCTCTATTAGTTTTTCTTAGAATATTATTTGCGAAGAGTTGTAATTTTGGGTAAAATATAACAGTCACATGTTGTAAGGAAGTGAAATGTTAAAAATATTTTTTAAAAATCTTAATCCAGGGAAACAGATATTTGAGAACCAGGCCATGAGGCAGACAGGATAGCCGGTTTTATAGTGTAGGAGTGAAGAGCATAAATGATTTATCCTCTTTGACCTTCAGTCTTCTTTTCTCTAAAATGCAGATAATGTAATATTAATGGGCTGGAGCGATAGCACAGCGGTAGGGCATTTGCCTTGCATGCAGCCAACATGGCCGACCTGAGTTCGATTCCTCAGGCCCTCTTGGAGAACTCGGCAAGCTACCGAGAGTATCTCGCCTGCACAGCAGAGCCTGGCAAGCTACCCATGATGTATTCAATATGCCAAACACAGTAACAACAAAGTCTCCAATGGAGACATTACTGGGCCCGCTCAAGCAAATCGATGATCAACGGGAGGGCCTTTATTTATTATTATATTATTATTAATATTTTTGTTTGGTTTGACTTTTATTGGAGGGTTCACACCCTGATATGCTTAGAGCTTACTCCTGGAGCAATGCTCAGAGATCACTCCTGATAGATTTTGGGGATTATATCGGACGCTGGAGATTGAACCCACATCAGTTGTATGCAAAGCAAATGCCCTGCCTACTGTACTGTCTCTCTAGGCCCAGTCTTCATCTCTGTGGTAAGAGCTCAATTGCTTTAATAGCATGACTGACAAAAGCAGAGCTTATGCAATAAAGGATAGTACTCTTGTTATGAAAATAAAATATCAATTGACAAATATGTAAAACATTTTAATCTTAAAATTAATCTTTATGAATGAGAAGGCTGAACCAGGAAATTAAAGGACAATTGCAACAAAAGGATAATTGTAAAGAACTTTTAGGGATTGTGAATGTGAACCTTCACAATACAGAAGAAATCATTTTTGTCTTGAATATAGTGTTTTACCTGATAAAAACCCAGGGTTGATTTGGATTGTAGTTGGTGAAGTGTGTGGTGATATTAATCAGTTTCTGGGGGATTGTAAAGAGAGTTTAGTTCCTAGCTGGAATTCACTCTCACTTTTTGTGAAGCAACTAGTGATTGCCACCTGACCTGAGAAAAATCTGTGTCAAGAGGCCATTCTAGTTGTTCTGTGTTTGGGGTGAGATTCTTGTACCAAGCTGTAGAAATTAGTAGGTGTGGTTTTAGGAGGTGAGCAGGTGGAGATTTGGATTGGTGCCCTTCTAGAAGAGATTCCAGTGAAGTTATAGCTAGGAAGCATCGACTATGGACCGTATGAACTAGACTGTACACACAACAGATACCAAATTTGTTGCCACTATGTTCTTGAATTTCCCAGGCTCCTGTACAGTCAGAGATAAATGTTGCAGATGACGGGATAAAAACTACGGTACATATACACAATGGAATACTTTGCAGCCTAAAAAAAAGATAAAGCATGCAATTTTCTGCAATGTGGATGCATTTGGAGAGTGTCATGTTGAGTGAAATGAGCCAGAGGAAGAGAAACAGGCCCTGCTCAATCCCAAGCTAACCGTGAGATCAAAATGTTTTAAGTATTTGTTAATAATTAATATTTTATTTTCATAACAAGAATACTTTTCTTTATTGCATATACTCTGTTTTTGTTAGCCATGATATTAAATGCAATTGAACTTTTACCACTTAAAAAGTGAAGGGCAGTGGGCACTGGTGAAGGGATTGTTGTTGGAACAATAAATGCCTGAAACTTGATCATAAATATCTTTGTAACTTTGTAGTTAATATTGCCTTCAGCCTCCCTATTTATGAAATATACATATTTCATAAAATATATATATATTCATATATATTTCATAATATATATTTAAAGCAGCTTGAATGAATCAAGACATTAAGAAGCTAAAAGCCAGAGGTTAACAAATTTGTTATGATTTTCAAAGCAGCTTAGAAATAGAATCAGGACAGAAATACCCTAATTATATATTTTTAAAATTAAAAAAAAATTAAACACATATTACAGGCTAGGTAAGCAACTGGTATATTTTGTATATACTTTGCTTATTGACTCATTGTAACAATTCTATAAAGCAAATATCACCTTCATTTTTGCTGGTAGGCCAATAACTATCCCAAGCCCCCACTAAGTCTTGTTTGGGGACAAGGTCTTGAGCTTAGATTAAATATATTTTAATGTTTTTTTTTTGTGGAGGTGGGGGGATTAAGGGGACATATCTGGCTGTGCTCAGGGTTTACTCCTGGGTTTTGTGCTCAGGGACCACTTCCCAGTGTGGGACCATGTGTGATGCTGGGAATTGAAACAGGTTTGAACAAAGGCCAGCTGAATGCTAGGCAAACTTCTTAATTCCTGTACCAGCTCAAAGTTCGAGTCTTTTTTAATTTAAATTTTAAAATTTAAAAAAACTAAATAAATAAAAATTTAAATTTAACATTTAAAATTTCATTTAATTTTAATTTCTGTACCAGTTCAAGGTTCAAGTGTTTTTTGGTGCATATGCTTGCCCGAGCCCCTGCGTGCTTGTGGCCACATGGCCGAGCACATGTGTTGCCCACATCATCTCACTTTTTTTTTTTTTTTTTGCTTTTTGGGTCACATCCAGCGATGCACAGGGGTTACTCCTGGCTCTGCACTCAGGAGTTACTCCTGGTGGTGCTCAGGGGACCATATGGGATGCTGGGAATCGAACCCGGGTCAGCTGCATGCAAGGCAAATGCCCTACCAGCTGTGCTATCTCTCCCGCCCCTACATCTCACTCTTGAGATGTGTACTTTCGTGCTTTCGTGTCTAATGCTGGTATGTGTGTAGAGGTTCTCTCCGCCCTTGGAGAAGCCCATGTTCTCTCTTGAGTACATTACTGTCTCTCACTCTCATCCCATTCACACCTTAAAAATCCTCCAAATAAAATCTGTTTATTTAAAAAAAAAGAAGACTTTAGTATTTTTTACTTTTTTATTACCCTAAGTTACCCAGGCACTTCCCAATGGGATGGACAAGTGTTCCACTGGTTTCTCTGTCTTATTATAAATGGAAAAACACCTCAATTAATTTTCAAGTTGTGAAATATGTAATAGAGAAAAACAACCTTTTGATACTCACATATCTTTCCCAATCAATTTCTGCATAAAATCCATTTGGTGCTCCATTGCTTTTCTTCTGTAATAAATTTGAAAATAAGTTTAGAAGAGAAACAGTTGAATGAAAAAAACGGGAACAAATAACACTTAACTCTTAGTTGAATTTAGCAAGAGCTATCCAAATCCAGCATGGGGAAGACAAATAAAGGCAGTCTATTAAATGGCCACACTGACGTAACTGAATGGTACACTGAGTTTCCAATGACACAGTGTAAAAGAGCTTAAAAAACTTCAATTCACAAGAGACTCAAGGACATCTAAACAGAAGGATTTAGCAACCAACCATCCACCTTTACTCAACTGTTGAATAATTAGCAATACCAACATTATAATTTGATCCTGTATGACTTTGAAGGATAAAACTCTATATACCTAGCTAGCTAGCTATTAATTTATTATCTAAAATGAAAACACATTGACTTCCATGCTGCTCTCATATATCCCAACATATCCAATGAATATCCAAATCACAAACTAATCTTTAGGTTTTCTAACATTAAACCAACTTTATATTACTTTTAATAGATTATAAAGACAATAAGCTCCAAGGAAGTTAATCTAGCCCCTATTAAAATAGTATTGAAATTCAGATGAATTAGCTTGTAATAATTAAATAATTTAAATAGGATTAAAATATTAAACCTAGGAGGAAAGTATTTACATTAGTTGTATTAATTGGATTATCTAAATCAAAAGTATTTAATTAATCTAGATTTTCTAACTTTCACCTGCCTTCTGTGTCCATGAGCACACATTATTGCAAGATACTGTAGATATCAGCATTTCTCTCTGAGGATGATTACTTAGACCCTGGAACTACTATGATACATAGCCACAAGTACTTGAGCGAGGAAGTGGAAATTGCTAGGCTTTTCAACTCTTTGTGAGCAAAGCTGAGAATACAAATCAGGTTGGTAATGGAAAGTCCATTTAACAACTTCCTGACATTTGGCACAAAGAGCCACATATGTCAGTGATCAATGACAGATCTCATGAACAACACATCAAACGGTGACAATGAGTCTTGTGGACAGGATCTCTAATTTTGTAACCTCAAATAAAAGTCACTTGTATGGCAACATGAACAGCTAATACCCAATTTGACACAGAATAGGAAAAATCAGAGTAGAGATAGCCATTATCACTATTACTAATTATTGTCTGGATATTCGGAAGAACTAGCAATAATTTAGTAAGGCTGACACAAAGGAATAGATTATGAATGCATCCCCTTTCTTTTCCTATATACAACCTCTAAATGAGAATTTACAAGTGCAAGAACTGCATAGAATATTTCTATAGATCTGGCCCAGGAACATAAAGGAGAATGCCTTTGTTCTACTCCTAACAAAGATAATATATTCAGATGCCCTCATTTTAACTTTCCACAGAATTGCCATTATTGAACAAGTGTATCAGAGGTATTAATTCTACTTTCAACTAACTTTGCTTTAAAAACCTGCCAAATCGATTCTGTGCCTTTCTAAGCTATGTAGATACTGATGAGGACATGTTCCATTAAATAATTTATTCTTTTCAAAATTTCTCCTGTATTGTCTTCTTTCCCGAGTTCTGTAAATTCTTCTACGAAACTGTATACAATGGATTCAATATGCAGAATTAATTTTTAATAATGGGAAATAAAATGAATTAACTTTATTCTAAAGTTGTACATTTTGTGATCAATTTATTATCTCAGCTCTTATGCCTTTTAGTTCTTAAACAATTATTCAATACAAAGGATTGTTGTCAAAAAATCAAAATGATAATAAACAACTGAATCTCTGTCACCAAATCCTTTAAAATCAAGATAACTGATACGCTCAACTGACAAACTCTGAGTATATATGTATCACTCTTCTAACGACATATATTCAACATCAAGCATAAAAATGTTTCCGAATTGTCTAGATTTTGACTGAGTGAAAATTTCCCAAGTTTCCATGGAAACCAAGTAGAAAACTGAAAGGAAAAGTAAATAAAACCTATGAAAATAAAATTGAAAAACAAATTCCACCTGGAAATAACAAATTATAACAATATATTTTTGGGGGGGCAGATATTAAAAATACATATGTACACAGAGATTTAGTAGAGGAATACAAAATTAGGCTTCATTAATGCGATGAAATTATCAAAATATATATTTGGTTTCACAATGAAATGATCAAGTTGAAGCTTAAGTTGTGTGTTTCGATGAAATTCTTCTAGTCAAACCCCAAGAAATAAACAACCTTCTTGGTTTGACCACTTAAACAGGGTGCAGCTTGCAATGGTCATAGTGAAGGTAATAACTCCACTGATTTTTTACTTGGAAAATTTTGAACAATCAAAGAGTCTAAGGGACAAAATATTTAAAAACTTGGCTACATTGACTATTTGCCAACTCATAGGCAGATTTTTTTCTTTGCAGTTGGAATGAATTACTTCTTTAATTCTTGTATTTTCCAAAAGTCTATATTGGCAGAAATATTCTTAATGTTTAATTTTATTTGTTTATTTTGGGGGCCACATCTGGCAGTGCTCAGGGCTTACTCCTGCTTTGTACTTAGAGATCACACCTGGCAGCCTTGGGGGTACTAAGGATTAATATGGGGTTCTGGGGGATCGAACCCGGGTCAGCCACATGCAATACAAGTGCTTTACCTGCTGTACTATCTGTTTGACCTCCCAGAAATATTTTATCACTTGAGAATATATTAATTATTTAAAGATCACTAATACAACAATGTGAAATTACATGCATAAGTACTTTACTTTTGTCAGGTTTATTATCTCACTCTCATCTGGACCAAATCAATACATATAACAATTTTATTCCATTAATCATTGATCAACATTCTCAATTTCCACTGAGAAGTCTCCTCTTTTCCCAGGTCCGTTCATGGTCACTTAGTGATCTTTGGGAGGAACATATTAAAGACTCGGGTTGTACTTCCTAAATAATGTCTGTTACAACTAAGGTAAATTTGACTCAAAGCACTGTCCAATAGAACACTATGAAGATGGAAATGCTCAGTCCGGGCGCTTTTCAAGATGGCAACCCCTAACCACAAACAGTTTAAGAGTGCTTGAAATGTGGCAATCCAACACACCTTTTTTTAAAATTTTGCTTTTTGAGGTCATGCCCAGTGATGCACAGGGGTTACTCCTGGTTCTGCACTCAGGAATTACTCCTGGCAGTGCTTGGGGGACCAAATGGGATGCTGGGAATCACACCTGGGTTGGCCATGTGCAAGGCAAATGCCCTACCTGCTGCCCTATCACTCCAGCTTCCAACACATGCCTTTTAAAGAGCCATATGTGACCACTATGTTGGACAACAGAGCAATAGTGGTTTTATAGATTGGGCTATTGCCAGTGTTTTTCATTCTCTATACTTTAGTTTCTGTAGGCCAAGATTCTCTTGAATTTCTGATGTTACTTAATTACTTAAATAATATCCTAACAAATGCTTATTCAGTTTATATTTTAGTAATTATATTATAGCTATCAGATTATTTTAAAAATCCTATCCGTGTATTTTCAGTGAAATCCATGTCTTTTATGTCTGATCCCTTCCTAGAAGTATATTCGAATATCAATGTATAGAGTCTGTATTGTTGACTAAAATATTGGGCCCCAGGTACTCAAACTGTAATTTGGAAGCATTCAAGAGAGCAAATAATTGCTACTCTGATTATTTCATGTTTCAAACTGGGATTTTACTCACTGTTTTCTACAACCCCTTGGAAATTTTAAACTAAAATCTGGTTCCTTACCGAAACTTTTTTTCCTCCTTCACGCGTACACTCTGCTTTGCTATTGTAGGGTGGTTCATGAGGGCTGGGCTGCTGGAATTGATTGTTTTCATGTAGAAAAAAGTTGTTAAAGGATCTGTTTGTTCTTCAAGACACATAAGAATCACATGGAGTCAGCAAACATACCATAGAAGAAACAATTTCTAGGCCAAATTGTAGAACCTGCCCATCTTGGCAGGGGTCCTTCAGCAAAGAGTGGTCTTTGGGGCCCATAACAAGGCTCTATTCAGCAGACCAGCATGGCTGGATGGGGAGAGGAAAGGAGGAGGCAGAGGACACATCCTGGGTATTAGGGACTAGGTGTATTTAGTCCTCATTCAGCCAGTACTTCATTGACAGGAAGAGAATAGACATGCAAAAGAGACTGAATAAGGACAGTGATACTTCTGATCTCTGTGTGTCAGGTCTTCTTGTACAACATTCACAGGGTAAAAGTCTTTCTTGGGTCATCAGCACCCACAGCAATCATAGCTGACTAGTCCATAGTGGATAGCTTTCCTGTACACCCGCTGTGGAGCAGAAAGGACTACCTCCTAGCAATAGCTGGGATCCCCACTCTCCACCCTTCTCCCTACCTTACTAAGTATGGGTGCTAATCTGAAAGTACATCTTGCAGAAATGAGTTTGTTTATGGGCTAGAATGCATGGTTATACACAGTCACCTGAGGCCAGGGGTATCATGAGAGACCGTTCTGCTGTGGATAGGCACTATCAGCCAGTGGCGGGGGTAGGGAGGGGCAAGGAGCCCACCCACATCCCTTCATCCTTGCCACAGAGATTATGGACTAAACCTCAGGGCACTCTCATCAAAGATGGGCTCACAGGACTGGAGAATGTGACATTAAATAAACATCCATTGCTTAAGCCTAGTGTGTGGCACTTGAAACGTTGATTATAAGCCAAAGGTGGGTAAGCTGCCTTCACAATTTGTGAAACTGCATTGGGGAAACTGACCATCAAACTTTTAACATTCTAAAGGCGATGATTTGGAAAAGAAATAAGCCACATACACTGGGTCTGTGGGTACAACATCTTTTTAAAAAATTGGTCTGCATTTGAAAGGACAATCCCCCAAGGACTCCAGGACAGAAATGTAGGCCCATAGGAATTACATGATAACTCATTCTTGAAATCGGCTGGCCATAATAAATGCAGATAACTCAAAAGACATGTCCAAGTGGTAAGACGAGCCACTAGCGAGTGCCTTGCAATTAGCTACAAACTGCACACACTCTGTTACTGAGAACAAGTATGTCTTTGGAGTGTAACCTTTTCAAACAGGTCTGCATTACTGAAGTGAAATCATTTCTCTATCTAATATTCACAATATTTGTGGCGCTTCCAGTGAAATAGCAGAGAGCATAATAGCTCCTAAGTAAAGTCATGTGACTTGGGATGCTGACAGAGATGAGGACATGGGAACTGAGGCTCAAAGACCTGATTGGGAGGCAGGGGAGGGGAGGGGAGGGTCACTGAGGACCAGTCCACGGACCATGCAGGCTCAGAGTTGTTGCAACATGCCAGCCGCTGTCCCAGCTGTGGGCGAGGTGTGTGTGGTGTGTGGTATCTTCCCCCAGACTTTAAGACTAGTGGTCCCTGGAAGGACAGAGAACACTGTGGTAGCCATGGAGCCGCAGAGACAATGAGCAAGGGGAGAAGGAGTCTTCGAGAAAGGAAGAAGGACAAGACTAAGGGGGTTAGAGGGAAAGGAGCACAAAATAAGACCCAGCCTAGGAGAGCAGGAAGAGGAAGCAGTGATGAACTGAGCCTGGCCAATGAAAATGGAGGGGACAAGAGGTACCAGGGAGGGGACTAAGACAGAAGCCAAGAGAGGACATGGAAGCAGAGAGTACCTGAGACAGAGTTAAGGAGAGGGCTCTGAGCCAGAACCAAGAGGTGAGGAGAAGCTGAGTCTTCTGGGTCTTTTTTGTCCCCTGCTGAATAGAGCCTTGATTATAGTGTCACCCAATGTCTGATCAATTTCCATCTATTTGTTTAACATTTCACGTTAAGAACTACATGAACTCAATAGGCACCCCAAAGCCAGGAACCTTGAATCAAGTGTGGGGGAAAAAAACTTTTGCCATTGCTGCAATCAACACCCCAGTTTAGGTCTGATATTAGAAAGAGTGATTTAAAAAGTATTTTTAACCACCAGATTTATTTTCATTCCCACTCTGGCCCCAGTGAGCCTAGTATGAGTCCTTTTTTTTCCCCTTTCTCCTAGTAACAGCTGTTCCTTTGAACCTTTTGAATAGACATCTGATTTCGATTTGAAGGAAGTCATTTTAAGAGTTGGTGCCGACTCCCATAAATACAACCTCGGTACATCCAAGTCCGCCATCACAGACTTCTTTAAAAGGCAAGAAATCTGGCGGCCGGCAAGGAGTCAGGGTAACTGTTAAATCTAAACCCAGTGGGCACATTTTTTTCCTCTTTCAGGCTGTAAATCCAGGCATAAGTGGTTTCAAGACCATTCCCTACTTACGAATTTAATATAGAAAACGTATCTGCAGCTCAGCTCTAAAAGGGAAAACACGTCCTTCAATTTTATTGGATCTCAGATCCATTACGACTTCGTGGGCTTTGCTTGGGAAAAAGCATCCTCACATAATGAGCTTTTATATCATTAAATTGGAAATGAAATAACCCTTGCCGGTAGACACCCTGCTGGGATGGCCTGGCTTTTGACCCTCTACCTGTTCCCGGACCCCTGCCCCCCAGGTCTGGATGATGGTTTTGTTTGTCTGCACTGGGGCAGGGGTGTAGGTGAATGCAACAAATAAGTTTAACTTGACCAAGGCAGCATGTGTCCCATGCAATTATTAAAGAAATAAATTGAATAGGGAAAAGTTCAAAAAGTCACGTAGCTATTACTTCCCTACTGGGGGCGAAAAATGAAAGAGAGAAGAGAGAAATAGGGCATTGAGCAATTTAAACAGCAAAAGTGGAAGTGCAAACCTATTAAAAATGGTCATTGAAATACTTACAATTCCATCTCTATCTGGTGAACCTCTGCAACAAAAAGAAATTGATGACTATTAGAAAAATGAATCATTCTTGCTTCACAGATAAAAGTATAAGACGCACCATTAATCACCCTTGTCCCTTCTTCCCAGTTCCCAGTTCTGATATTATTATTTATCAGAATCTGCTAATAAAAATTTAATCAAAGCAAACTGGTTGAGTAGTAATTGACTTTGTGTTTGTATGTGGGATGGAAGGAGGTGATTATTACTAAAAACTGGAGTCCTGGCTGAAAAAATGGTTCAAAATTCTGGAGCACAGGCTTCCCATGTGGCAACCCAGAGCTTGATCCCTGACACCACATGATTCTCCCCAAACCCAGAAAGGACCAAACTTCTGAGCACTACCAGCTATGACCCTAAAAATCAAACCCCAAGCCAAACAAAGCCCAAAACAACTGAACTTCCTGGCATAAGATCTTTTTTTTAATTGGGGGGTGGATTGAGCAGAGGGGAGAATGGTCATTCAGTTTACTCTACTCATTTGGTTCTAATAAAACAAACATGAGGAACATAAACTGAAGATCTTCATCTCCCCTGAGACAGATCTTGACTCTCTTCCTTTAAGAAGAAACTTCTAGCATGTTTCTTATCCTGGGAGTTGCCTGCATTTCAACTTCAGTGTGTGATTATTTTCCTTTATGGTGGAACTCACCCTTAACTCCCTTTTAGGAGAAGCCCACATTCTCTCTTGAACACATAACCCTTTCCATCTCCCTCCTCCTAATAAATGATTCTTCAAATCGATTTTTAAAAAATAATACATTCCTATGATTTATTTATTTATTTTTGGTGCCACACTTGGCTGTGCTCAGGCCTTAGTCCTTGCACTGAATTCAGGGCATACCCCAAGGTCTGTGCTCAAGGGACCATATGTGATGCTGGCAATTGAACCTGGGTTGGCTGACTGCAAGGCAAGCACCCTATTCACCGTATTATCACTCTGTTCCTAATCTTTGAGAGACTCTATTTTCTTCCATATGTTTGTTTTGACTGCTCTAATTGAAGAAGAGCAGGACATGGAAGGTAATGCTTGGTTAAATGGCTCATTTGGCTAAGCACAGAGCATCTCTTCCTGGAAGGCATTTTGACTGACTCTGGGTGTCCAGAACCTAGAGACCCTATCAATCATGGTTCTGTGACCATGAACACACTATTTAACACCCCCAGCCATTTTTATAGAGAGAAATGGATCGATATTAAGAAAATTATCTTATTTATCTTATAGAATGTATGTGGACTTAAAACAGTTTCAGACATTAAGCATTCAAAAAAGTGTTGGTTGAAATTTTTGTTCTCTTCCATAACCTCTCTTTACTAGGAACACAAAATCATGTACTTTCAGCCATGCCAGACTTTTAGCAATATTGGAAGGCTATTATTATTATTGTCATTTGGAAAACTGAACTGGAGGAATGTGAGGAAGAGAGCGAGAGGGTAGTCATGGCAACTTCCTATTTTAAATCACTTTATGGAGCTAGAAAAATGTTATTCTAGCCACATGGAGCCAAAAATTATGCTTAGATGGGACCTTCTGAGAAAACTTTACTAAGTGATTGGAATGGATGTGAAATCTTGAAGAGTTTGGTGTGATTGGAACTATTCTTTTGTAGGTAGGACAAAGTAATTAAATTCTTTACTGATTCATAGGGTATCAGATGCAGCAGGTGTGTGTGTGTATGTGTGTGTGTGTGTGTGTTGGTGCGCACATGTGTGTGCATGCATGAACCAGAGAGAGAGAGAGAGAGGAAGAGAGAGAGAGAGGAAGAGAGAGAGAGAAAGAGAGAGAGAGAGTTGGTAGGATACTGTCTGGACTCCAAGATGTGTTTTTTTCTTTCCCACCAACACTTCCTTCAAACTAGCAGACAGATATGGAGTGATAATACACCAAGGATAGGGTGCTTGCTTTGCATATAAAAAACCTATGTTCGATACCCAGAATTACATATGGCCCCACCAGAACTGCCAGCAGTCATCCCTGAGTACAGAGCCAGGAGCAAACTGTTAGAACTACTAGGGTGGCCTCCAAATCAAAATAAAACAAAAACCAAAGGCAAAAAAAATCAAAATCAGCAGATATTTAAAATTAGCAGAAGATTCAGAGCTGAGGATTCAGGATACTTGGCTTAAGACACTTGTGCTGAATGTGGCTGATCATTTCCAGGCACTACATGGTCCCTCACATGCTTGCCTGGGTAAACCCTGGTACTTCAGGGCATGGCTACCGCACATCATTGGGCCCTGAATTCGAACCACCAGCCCTTTTGGTTAAGAATTCTCAAAAGTGGTTCCTGTGCTTCCTGAGTACTGCTTGGGAAAGTCACACTTAATAAACGTTCTAAATTATCATAGTAATCTAGGTAGATTACGAAGTACTTGATGGGAGGATACCATTGCTCAGAACTGGTAAGTTCTGAGTTTACATGAAAGCAAGGAGTTCAAAGACCATGGGGGGGTCGAGAGATCTTTGAGTCTAAGAACATTCCTTGGACACAGGGTTAATTCTATGAAGTTTCATCTAAAATGAATAGGAAAAGTATCAGTTGATCAAAAATTGTAGTTAATTGAACAATGATGGGTAGTTTCTACTAAGCACCCAGAGTGGGAGGAGAAGACTCCTTAGTTCCTCCCTTTAGGAGGGATAGCAGACACCCGGCCCATGTGTCGGCCATAATGAACTCAGTCAGTACTGGGGAGGTCATTGGACTCTTTTCCCTCTTGAACCGTTTGAATTTCCTTTCCCTACCATAGATTACGGGCAGTAAGTGACAGGGACTGTCTTTAAAGCAAGGTGGAATTGCTTTCTGATAAGAATGCTCTCTTGGGTTGTGTCACAAGTGACAAAGGTGAAAAGGGACACAGCCGATGGTCAGGGCCAGAGAAGTGACCCTGGTCTGGCTTTCAGAGAACTGATACTCCATCCATCTAATGGAAACTAAAGCAGCAAAGAATGGTGGACTCCCAGGACATATGGGTAAGAGTAGAACTAAAGTCTTGACTCTGTAGATCAAACTTCTTTTAAATCTATTGAAAGAACATCAACTTCTCTGGGTAGGAAATAGGAAATGTTTAGAAAACAGCAATTTTCTAAGTGATAATAAAGATAAGAGGATTCTCAGAAGAATAGTTCCAATTCAATTACTTAGAAAAATGTGCAGGACAAGAGTAAATATAATTTTTATGAAATATAGACATATATATGTATATACACATAGGCTAATAATCTCTCAGAGAGCCCAGCAAGCTACAGGGAGTATCCAGCCTGCACAGCAGAGCCTGGAAAGCTCCCCGTGATGTATTCGATATGCCAAAAACAGTAACAACAAGTCTCACAATGGAGATGTTACTGGTGCACGCTTGAGCAAATTGATGAATGGGAGGACAGTGCATATAGGATAATAATATATAAATACATACTGATATAAATGCTTTTTCATGGGGTTAATATAAATAAAGGTAAAGGCCCTCCCGTTGATCGTCAATTTGGTCGAGCGGGCCCAGTAATGTCTCCATTGGAGACTTTGTTGTTACTGTGTCTGGCATATCGAATACTCTCGGTAGCTTGTCGGGCTCTCCGAGAGGGGCGGAGGAATCGAACTCGGGTCGGCCATGTTGGCCGCGTGTAAGGCGAACGCCCTACCCGCTGTGCTATCGCTCAACAACACCCTGTAATGTCTGGGGGCACTCCTGGGATATATTTGGGGGGGGTCACATAGTACCAGGAATAAAAATGACGCCTTCCACAAGCGAAACACATACTCCACTCTTTGAGCCATCTCCCTAACCTTATGGAACAATTTTTTTACTATAAGAAGTGCTAAGAAATATACAATAAGGAGTCAAGTATTTGGTATTTTGACAAAAAATAGCCCCATAACCCCAAATCCTTTACTTTACCTGGCTTTCAAGTCTTTAAGACTTCCCCATGTTGGAAGTCTTAAAATCTTTAGCCCATGCTGGGAAGATCCCTCTGCTTGCGACTGATGACACTTCCTGTGTGTGTGTATGTGTGTGTGTATGTGTGTGTGTGTCCCACATCTTTTCAGCTTTGCGTTCTAGCATCACCTATGCTTGTGTGCAAACTAGTTGACAGGCTATCTTATTATTTTCACTCCAAAAGACACTGCAAAGAAAAGATTTAAGTTTCTGTGGTAGATAATTTGTCCCGTGAATTATTAATTCTCAAAGTAAAAGAATGTGGGGTCATGTTCACTGCATGATAAATTTCTGAAAAAAAGAAAAATACAAAGCAAAAGGTAGAAATCACTGTAGACCTCATTTTATCCAATTCCCAAACAACTATTGAGTTTCATAATATTTACTAACATTCTTTCAGGGATTCTATCCAAATGTGTTCATAGGTTTATTCTATGATCTACATGAAACCACAGGGTGACTGGTTCTATGGGTCACACACAATCACAGCTGAGTAGTAGTAATGTTTTCCCATATGTTTGTCTTGGTTAGAATCTTGACATTCTGACTTCCTTTACTTTAGTTTGCTATCTGGCTCAAAAATGCATTTAAGATTTTGTATCAGAATTTAAATTCTAAGGACAATTTTAAATGCTGAAATTTGTGGAATGATACTGTTTTATCATTAGACCATTTCAAAATAGGTCTAGCTGTGTCCCTCTGTGGGCAACTGATTATCTTGGGCATTCAAACGCGTGAAAGTTTCTGAAGAGTTGTTTCTGGCACTGGTTTCTTATTTGCAGTCAAACAGCATGCTCTTCCTGTGAATTCTGTTGGGCCATGAACTATTTTCTGCTTGTAAAAAAATCCCAGGATATTAGGTAAGTATTGGGGAATGCTATCTAGTCTAACTTCTGTCTCTTTCAAACCTACTATTGCTTGTACTTTCCATCAGTAGAGAAAGCCGAAAGATGTTGCAAAAGCAATAGTGTCATCTCAGTATCCTGGGGCACATCTGAGAAGTGGTCAAAGAAATAGCACATGCTGAAAACTGAACACACAGTGGAAAATCTCTCTTTAAGTACAAACCTAAGAACTGTTTATGCTGAAAAACTGAAAATGGGGAGAACAATAGCAAAGTAAATGCTAGACAAGAACACTATGTGCACATTTCAAGGTCAATCATAGCAGTATATTTAAGGCAAAGAACTTTTTAGGAGGAGGTAAACTTTTATTTAGGGGAAGGTAAAAATACATACGTTGAATCAGTGTCCTTTTCTTTCTTCCGTATTCCAAAGGCCTTTCTTGTACGTTTTTTCAATCCTGTTGGGAAATAACAAAAGGTCAGAAAAAATATTTTCTATATTTTTTCTATTCACATTCACAATATTTAAGTGCGTGTATACACTGTGTGTGTCTATACATACATATATATTGGCAGAGCCTGGTCAGCTCCCCGTGGCATATTCAATATGCCAAAAAAGTAACAACAAGTAACAAGTCTCACAATTTGTTGTGACACTCCCAATTTGGTGCCCGCTTGAGCAAATTGATGAACAATGGGAGAACAGTGCTACAGTGCTATATGTAATTTTTTTTTTTTGGATCAACCCAGCACTTCACAGACATATTTTAATTCTATTTCATTTGGACTTTTTGGGTAAAACTGGCAGTTCTCAGGGGCTGTTTCTGGCTCTGTGCTCAGGAATCACTCCTGGCAGTGCACAGTGAACCATATGTATTGTCAGGGATCAAACTAAGATTAGTTGCATGCAAGGCTAGTACCTTAATTCCTGTACTATCTCTCTGGCCCCACAAACATACTTTAAGAGTTGCAATTTACAGTTACCAGTTAAATGTTCCAGAAGTAATGAAAGGCTCTTTATTTGTGTGTAGCACTGAAAATTCCTAACACTAGATGCCACAGAAGAATATAAAAGGATAGAAAGGAGATCAGGGACAGGTATAAAAAAGATTATAAGCTTCCTTTAGACTATTGTTATTCATCATACAAACCAGTCTCTGCTGAAGAATGAAATTACGGGACTGAGATGAACAGCAATTTCCAGATTAGATACAGATTATGTATAAACCATACCAAGAAGTTCAATAGACCTGACACATGTGTCTGTACTCCCATAATCCCCATCTCTTCTTTTTATATCTCCTCTCTCTGAATTAGATAGTTATCTAGCCTTTGAGCAACCTCTATGGTCTGTATTACTGCAATACTTTCTTCTATCCAGGATTACCTATACTTCATTTCCCACATGATTTGATGATAGAATGTTATATTCATCCTTCAAGACCCAGCCAAAAACCACCTCAATCTTACCAGTGTAAGACAACCTGAATATTCTCTATCCGCACCCTACACACACACTCAAGGTTGTCTTATTATTTCTAGACTCTTTCATTTTTATCCTGTTTGAGATTTCTATGTATTCCTTACTCCATTGCTACACATGTACATTGTATTAGCCTACCAGAAGAAACGCCTATACAACCATAAATTAAGCTTGCTAATGGTGTTTGCAAAGTCTTGACACAGTGGAACTGAAAAGTCACTGACTTTCAGGATTCCTTTGCTATTATAAGGTGAAACAAAAGGAAAAACACCAACAGAATCAGCAATTTGATGACACCTTCTTCCAAAACAAGTGAGTCAGTTCAATATGCTCAGATGATCTGAGTCATTCATTATCTGGCTCTCAAATATAATATCCAAAATGCCTCTGTTCAGTATAATTTTGCAATTTGACAGTCATTCCATGTAAGCCATTTAGGACTTTAAAATGACAGTGTTTGTTTTTTAAATTGATTTTTAAAACCTCCTCCCACATAAAACTATTCTTTATTTTTCTCTAGTGAGGAGTTTACATGAAAAATGATTGCCATTTAAAACTCTCAACCCATGACATTTAGGAACATCTTTCCTCCCATTCTATTTTTTGGAGGGCAGGGTACCTGGGGGATGCTTCTAGACAATACTAAGATAACTCAGCCACACAATTCACCGGGCCCATCCCAGTGACGCTTATGGAGCCATGAAATGCAGGGCCTTACCGAATGCCAGGCATATGCTCTAGCCCTCGAAGCTGTCTTTCTGTGCTCAGCCCTCATTCTTTTAAGATTTTGATTGTTAAAAACTTCCTCCTACTCACCTTTTAAGAGGCTTATTTCTTTTAAAGACAAATTTTAGTTACAACAGTAACTTCATACTTTAAATCCCTTAGTTGGTGTTTCCATGCTTCTAAATTCAGTTTTGGGTTCATGACAAATTTTATGTTCACCAATCACTACTGGTTCTTACAGTCATAAAATGAATCTATTTGGTGAAGAGGGCATCACTGGCAGTGCTTCAGGGACCAAGAGGTGCCAGGGGTTGAATGCAGGCTACCTGCATGCAGCATGTGTCCCAGCCCTTTGAGTCACCTCTCTGGAACCCCAAAGCATATTATGCTCCGTAACTTGACCATGAGATAAGAGAGAGCATAAACTACCAAGTAGATCAGACAATGCACTAGAATTACAGTGATTATTTTTAATAAATTAGTCACAGGACAGGCAACTGTAGTGTTCCATAAACTCTGACCTGTTTTCAACTGTGGAATTTGGATATCAGTCAACTGAACTGGGTCATGAGCCTCACAATTTGTTCATTTTCTAGTGAAAAGTCCACTGAATCAGGGTTTAATCCGACCCAGAAGTATTTCTAATTGTGTGGCCAAATCTTAGCTGTATTCTCCTTGCGTTCCTATCTCTCAGTTTCTAGCAAATAAACTGATAATGAGGGATGAAAGAAATTGAGCCCTTTACAAACTGTTGGTCTGTTACTTTGAATTTCATGAAATCAAATTTTTAATACATCTAGACATGAAATGTTTATAGGAATATACCAAAGAGGTGACATTTCAAAAAAGCAATACTAATTCAATTGTTAGGTAAAAAAGGATTTTTCCTTTCATGAAAATTGTCAAAACTTAAAAAGTTTAAGAATATAAGGGAGGGGCTGGAGCAATAGCACAGCGGGTAGGGCATTTGCCTTGCACGCAGCCGACCCGGGTTCAATTTCCAGTATCCCATATGGTTCCCTGAGCACCGCCAGGGGTAATTCCTGAGCGCAGAGCCAGGAGTAACCCCTGCGCATCGCCGGGTGTGACCCCCCCCCAAAAAAAAGAATACAAGGGAAAGTGATACAAGTCTAGAATTTTCCATGTTTTGATATTTCTGTTTTTGGTATCAGGGCAATGTTTGCCTCACAGAAACTGTTTGGGAGGATTCTTGTTTCATCCATTTTCTGGAAGAGCTTGAAAAGGATTGGAAGTAGGTCTTCTTTAATGGTTTGGAAGAAATCATTAGTGAACCCATCTGGTCTCTTGGATCTCAGTGCCTGTAGTCTTCAGCTCTAGGAAGTTCTTAGGGACAATTTCTTTAACTATTGTTTCTTCATCACATTTCCTTCCTGTTCTTCAGAGACAATGATGATACTTATATTGTTCCTTTTGAACACATACAATAATTCTTTGGTATACTGTTCATTCCTTTTCAGGAAGTCAGCAAAGTACAAGAAAGTATAAAAGTCAAATTGAAAAAACTACTACAGTCAGAAATGACAAAAAAAAGAAGAACATGGTAAGTGATAAAAAAAAATCAATAGAATGTCTGAATAACAGAAGCAGAGCCAAAGACAGAGTAACTCCAAGTTGAGAAGGAGGAAACAGCTATGAAACAGCAGAATGCAGAAAATAGTCTGAAAAGAAGTGAATCATACACCAGAGAATTATGAAATGAGCTAGATGCCTGGGGAAAGGGAGAAGGCTAGGGATATTGGTGAAAAGAAAGGGGACATTGGTGGTAGGATTGGTGTTGACACATTGTATGCCTGAAACAACTTTATTATCAACAGCTTTGTAAAATACGATAAAAATACAATAAAAATAAAAAGCAGGCATAGTGATACAAAGGGATCAGTGATGTTAATCACTTTGATTCCGAGTTCAGAACAAGAAAAATTGTTGTAGGAAAGAAGATGGCGGGGTAGTGCTGGTACCTGGTAATGTACACTGGGGTAAAACAGGGTCTGAAATCTGAAGCAGTCCAAAGGCATGGAGACCTTTGACACAAAGGCCTGTATTAGGAGCCAGAAAGTCATGGAGATGCAGAATTCCAAGCCAGTGCAAGAAGACTTCCTAATAGGGGGTGTGGCTGGACTCCCTGAGAAAGATGCTTCAACATTAGAACAAAGGCCAAGTGAAGAACATCAATAAAAGACCATCACCTGTTCCCAGATCTCCCTCTGGGCAACCTAGCAATGGACTGCAGTGGGGTTAGCTTGGGAAAAAGTGTATATGAACTAACTTGGGCAGAGGAAGTGTGTGCATGTGACCTTTGCCACGTTGCCTGTACACAGGTACGCATGCTCCCTGTATCTCCCACCCTGAGGTGTGCATTTTCATACTGGATCACTGGGATGCCTAATGGGCTCTCTGCAGTCAGTATTCTCTTGAGTATATAACTTAACCTACCTCTCTTTTTAACTCCCTTTATTTTCCCCAATAAACTTATTGTCTCCTCCTAAAATTCTTTCCTGTGCAGGAAAGGCAATGAACCCAAAATGGGCTGAGTGAGTGAGATTAGGACTGAATTTCCTTTCCTGCAAAGAAAAATTCCTTGCTCCATCCTGAGTGCACCATTCCCAAAAATCAGGTGTCTGGCATCATTCCCTACTGTGTGCAGAACAAGTGGACTTCAGGCTTGATGGCTGTCCCAAGGAGCTGGTAGAATGTGTGGCTGATGGGACATGAGCATTTGTGCTGTGCAGGAACTCATAGTGGACTTTCATCAGTCCTAAATCTCACAGGTGCTTCCCCAGGTGTTAAAAGTGGGTGGAGGAAATCAGATTTCCTTCTCCAGGCTGTTGCCTTTCTCCTTCCCACTTCACATAAGCTACTTGGGGAAACTCCACCAGCAACAACATTGGTTCAGGGTCATGAACCACACAGTCTATTCTGCCCCCCAGGAATTTAAATTCTGTCAATCACCCCTCTGGCCTATCCTTCTCTGAACCCTCAAGCTTCCCTGCTTATTGAGAAGATACTAACCAGGAAAGGCCAAGTGGAATGTTGCCTCCCTGTTGGCAAGTGGAAGCAAGTGGCTGTTTCTGGGAAGGGTCTCCGGGATGGAAAGAGATAAGGAACAAACAAGAGGAAAGTCAGAAACAGAGCAGCTGTAACAGGTCTAAGGGATGACACTGTATGTGGTTGGAAGAGAGAGTCCTGTGAAAGGTACTGCCCTTAGAGCACCATCCTTACTTATCTGAG